TTCCTTCTGAGGAGTGGCTGGTGGGTTTGAACTGCCAACCTTTTGGTTAGCAGTCAAGTGCCTTAGGCACTATGCCACCAGAGCTCCCTTATACTGTGTTAGGGGAGGTAAAGACACAAGTAATTCTCATTCTCTTTGGGCAATGCATTCTCCACATAGCAGTCATAATTCTCAGAACTCCACAGTCCTTCTGGGTTTATTGAGAATAAAATGCAAATTCCTTACCAAGATTCTACATAATCTGGCCCTTGCTGACTTCCTTATATATTTTAAAAGCCTTTTCCATTATAAATTTAATGCACTCTCAGTCAAAAATCTCCAAAATTTCACCTGAAAGCATACACATGTAAGCAATTCTAGAAAAATTCCAAGAAGAAGAATATTCCTACCAGATACTATAAAGCTGTAAGTAATTAAAATACTATGGTTATAGGTGCAGAGATAGATCAATGAAAGAGAATGGAAAGCCCAGAATTTCTCTTACATATATATAAGAATTTAGAATATGATAAAGGAGACATTTCAAATTAGCTAATTAAAGATTGGTTATTCAATAAATGGTGTTGGGACAGTATGGGGGAAAAGACAGAGATGAAATTCCACCTCACTTCTTACACCAAAAATAACAAAATTAATGAATTATTAATATTAAGAACTTAAGAAGAAAATAAGAATGAGTATTTTTATAATCTGGAAATGGAGAATACCTTTCCAAGCATGAGACCCAAACCAAAAAGGATTAATTTGAATGTGTAAAAAAAGATACGGTAGAAAGCAAAATAAACAAAGTCTAAAATTAAATTGGGAAAAACATTTGACAGGCAAACACAAGGCACAATAAAGTCTATGGACTTTATAATACATAGACTTTGGGTTATCTACTTCGAATGCTCAGAAACATTTTTTCATTTTACGTTTCCAGTTTATGGCTGTATTCAAGGCTAGTTACCTGGATAATTGGCCTTCATGAGTTAGGTATCAACATAGTTAGTCTATCTATTATATATATTATTTTGTTGAGAATGATGTTTTAGATTTTAAGTTTATAGTTTATAAAAGTTTGACACACTTTTAACATTGCCAGGGACAACGTCATAAGTGTATAAATGCTCAGTAAGAACTTCCCGATGGTTATCATCTTAAGAATTTGTTACTAAATCATAAACTGAAAGTTTTCTCTGCTCTAACAGGAATTGGCTGCATGTCAAAACATGCTAGATGCAGTGAAGTTAACAGCAACAGGTAAGATGTTCCATGGCATTTTTATGGCATAATATATACACACAGTATTATTTTTAATTGTATATGTAGAAGTTGTTGTGCTTGGTGCACAGAGCCAATAACATTAACATCCATATATAGGACATACATATAATAACATACATATATTGGACATATATTTGATAGTTTTGTCAGTGCTCCACTGTTTTATATTTCTCCATTTTTTTAAAATGAAATCAATATTTAAGGGCTCTTACACCTTCACAGCTGCAATAGATCTCAACTAATTTTCAAATTGTAGAATGGAAACTGTTATCAGTCAAAAAAAGGGAGGGGGTATAATTTAACACCAAGTACGCTTGTTGTGATGTTGCTTATTGGTCCTGTTGTGAGGATTTTTGTTTTCTTTATGTTGAGGTGTAATCCACACCAAAGACTGCAGTCTATGTTCTTCATCAGTAAGTGCTTCAAGTCATCTTCATTTTCAGCAAGCAAGGTTGTGTTATCTGCAATCGCAGGTCACAACTGGACCAATAAGCAACATCACAATAAATGCAGAAAAGATTGAAGATGTCAGAGATTTCATTTTACTTAGATCCACAATCAACACCCATGAAAACAGCAGTTAAGAAATCTGATGCTGTATTGCACTGGATGAATCCGCTGTAAAAAACCTCTGTAAAGTGTTAAGAAGCAAAGATGCCACATTAAACACTAAGGTGCACCTAACCCAAGCCATGGTATTTTCAATTGTCTCATATACATGTGAAAGCTGGACAATGAATAAGGAAGACTGAAGAAGAGTTGATGCCTTTGAATTACGGTATTGGTGAAGAATACTTAAAATATCATGGAATGCCAGAAGAAGGCATCTGTCCTGGAAGAAGTGCAGCCAGAATGCTCCTTTGAAGCAAGAATGGCCAGACTTCTTATCTACTTTGGTCATGTTGTCAGAAGGGACCATTCCCTAGAGAAGGATATCATGCTTGGTAGAGGGTCAGCGAAAAAGGGGAAGACCCTCACCAAATGGATTGACACAGTGGCTGCAGTGATGGGATCAAGTATAGCAAGGATTGTGAGGATGGTGCATGACTGTCCAGTTTCATTCTGTTGTACACAGGGTCACTGAGTTGGAGCCAACTCAATGGCACCTAACAAAAATATGTTGGTTTTAGCTTAATAGGATGAAATCAATAAAAGTTAAATGACTTAAATTAATTTACTACATTTTGACAGTCAGCAATATTAATGGTATATAGGCTTCTGTTTTATGATGGAGTAGAACTTTTTAGGTAGGGAAGATGATGACGAAGAGAAGAGATGATTAAAGTTTATAAAATTATGAATGGAAAAGCATTCTAGAAACGTATGAAGAAGGATAACTCCTTGTAATAAACTTAGAACGTTCTACCAAGGAGATGATAAATGATTTTTCTACAATACTGGGCAAGAGATCCATAGCACACTTCAGAAGAAAGGATGTTTTGTGGGGTCTTTTGGGCCATGCCCTAACACATCAATCTTGGTGCCTTGGTCAGAAATAGAATGCTGAGCTTCATGGATCATGGATCAATCATCTCATATGACAATCCATATGATCTTACACTTGGTAACAACAGCATCATAATGTTAACTAAGGAGCTCTGGTGGCATAGTGCCTAAGGCATTTGACTGCTAGACAGGTTTGTGGTTCAAACCCACCAGGCACTCCGTGGAAGGAAGACTGGGTATCTAAAGGTTTACTGCCTTGGAAACCCAAAGGGGGTTGCTATGAGTCAGAATCAACTTGATGTCAATGAGTTTGGTTTGTTTTTTTAATGTTAACTACTCTGTTTTTCTAGGAAGACTGGGTATCTAAAGGTTTACTGCCTTGGAAACCCAAAGGGAGTTGCTATGAGTCAGAATCAACTTGATGGCAATGAGTTTGATTTGTTTTTTTAATGTTAACTACTTTGTTTTACTAATGGAAATAGTAGGAGGGGTTGCTATGAGTCAGAGATGACTCGATGGCACATAACAACAACATAGAGTCAAAAGTAATGGACACTATGAAAACAGTACTCAAATTAAACACTATTACTATGCTGAGATAAAGTTCCCACATTATTTCATTTTAGTTAGGAAAATACTCCTCAGGGTAATATGTAACACTCTTAAAAAACAAAACAAAAAACCAACAATGAACAACAACCAAAATACTTTGTGTACTCTCATCTTCCTGTTGTAGGATTTCAGTATATCTTTGAAGTAATTTCATAATATCTTCACTTCTGTTTTTATCTTTAAAAAGTCCTTATGTACTAGTATAGAGGCAGGTTATATATTTGATGAAATATACTCTACTCTTACCTATTAATTTTTGACCTATTGTATGCAAATTGATTTTTCAGATTTACTTAGGGATGGCTTTGGGGACAATCCCCTTTTCTACTGCCTGATTGCAGAAGCACACAATCAGCATAAAACATCAGGTAAAGTATATCTTCTCCAATTTAATCTAGAGTATATTTTCCCCATTCTGTAAGCAAAGTACAATTTGATAACATACAATGACGATTAAGCAAGAAGAGCACAAGAGTATAAACTCAGTTTTTTTTTTTCTTTAAAGTGTGTAGTATGTGCTTACGTTTGCATACACATGGGAAAAATGGGAATATGCTCCACACTGTTAAGAGGTCCTCCCTCTTGAAGGATGTATTATAAGGGACTTACATCTTCTACTTTATGTACTTTTGTATTGTTTGAAATTTTGTCCAGTGACCATTCATTACTTTTGTTAAAAAAAAAAAAAGATATTCCATTTTTTTTCCTTGAAAATACTTTCTAAGATTCAAACTATTAACCTCTTTCTTTATATCTTCTCTTCCCTTTTCTAGGTACAGTGACCATTGGATTTGCCATGTATTTCTTCACATATGACCCCTGGATTGGCAAGTTACTTTACCTAGAGGACTTTTATGTCACACAAGCTTACCGAGGCAAGATATATTTAGAATAACTTTAAAAATTAAAACTGTATTTTAATGTTAAGGATTAGAGATAGTTTTAGTATACAAGTGGTATTTAAAGTTAGTTTATGTAACTCAATTCTATTTCTTGAGTCTGATACTATCCTAGTTATCCTTGCTTGGGGTGAAGATTCAATCACTGATCATAAAATATTTTTCTATTAGTTTCCATCAGAGTTTGAATAAGCAAACCTACCATAGCTATAAAGAAATGTTTTGACAGTTTGGGTTGGTTTGATGAGAAATGGATATGAAACATACCATGTCATAAGAGGATACTGACAGAAACTCATTTCCTCTTCACTAATATTTAAAATAAACTCTGAAATCTTTTCTAATACCTTTTGAATCACATTCCAGTTATGAAAAAGAGATATGAAAAAAATTGTTATAAGTTCCAACATAAGATTAAGGATATGTAATAACTAGAGTTCTTGTATTTTAAGCTAAAGCCAATAAATTGTTAAGTGAATTATTTCAACTTACTGTTTTCATTTTGCTTTATCTATTTAAAAGGTCTAGGTATTGGAGCTGAAATACTGAAGAAGCTGAGTCAGGTACTTCTTACAATTAGAAGTGATAATCTATTTCATCAACAAGTATTATTATTTAACAGGGCATAAACTGGATAATTAATTTCATCATCTAAACATAACTGCAAAGTATAGTTTTTTAATTCAAATTGAGCTAGTTTTTCAAATCAGATACTTATGTAGGTCATATGAGTTACATTTAATTAGAAATTGCCTTCCATATAATTCACGAACATGATACGCTTTTTTGCTGTAAAGCAGAAAGCAGCAAACATGAGGGACATTAGAAGGTAAATCCACAATATGACCACAAAAATAGTATAAAAGCAAGACCCTTGCGTGCTTTGGAAATACATATGTGAACATGCTCTTTTAGGTCAACCTTTTCTGTAGCATAAAGAAAAAACAGTCAAAAGAAAAATCAATGAGTTTATTTTGCAAATTGGCTTTTGCACTTACAAAGAGAAGGATTTTACTTTTCTTTCCATTTTTTTTTCTGTTGTGATTTGAGTGAAACTTTAGAGCAAATTGGTTTTCCACACAATTCATACATAATTTGTTTTGTGACATTGATTGCGATCCCTGCAATTTAACTTTCTTCCCACTTCCTCCCTGTGCTTACCATTTGCCTTCATCCTTCTTTCCCATCCCTTTCCTGCCTTCTCAGCTTTATCCCTGGGCAAACATACTTTTGACCTTGTGTGGTTGATTATACTAATGTGTGTGTACCTTCCTGGTATCATTGCTCACCTTATTGTTTGGATGAAAGCTGAGCCACAGTGGGGATTTCAGTTCCCACCCTAAAGGTTGTCTAAGGGCCAAAGTCTCGAGGGTTTCACCAGTTTCTATCAGACCAGTAAGCCTGGTCTTTCTTTCTTTTTTTTTTTTTTTAATGATTTTTAGTTTTGTTCCACATTTTTCTCCTACTTGATCTGGGACCTCCTATTGTGATCCCTTTCAGAGCAGTCAGCTGTGGCACAATCTAGTTCTGGTTTCAGGATAGCAGAGGAGATTAGTCCTCTAGACTAATTTGTTTTCTTACATCTTTTATTTTCTTCATTTTTATTTGCTTTGGATGGGAAGAAACCAATAGTTGCACCTCAGATGGCCAAACACAAGATTTTAAGATCCCAGTTGCTATTACTCATGAAATCTGGAGATCCTGGATAGAGTGGGAGGAAAAACAAAATCCAAAAACCAATAATGACCAGAATTAATGGTCAGATGGTGTCTGGTGAGACCCCCAATACTATGTCCCTGGAATACATTCTGTACCGGTAATAAAACTCACTCCTCGGGGCTGGCTCTCAGCCCAGTAGTTAACAAGATGTACATGCAGACCACTCAACCCAGGATGACACACCCACAGTCTATGGAAATGCATCCCCTGGAGCAATTGACCACGGGGTACCAGAAGGGCAACATTCACAGGGAGGAAATGCAGAACACACAGGATTGGATAACTCCTGTGTGCACAGGGAAAGGGTTACTGGTCAGAGAGGAGACTGTGTTAGGGTTGGACATGGTAAATGGAGTGAAACTAAATGTACATGTAATGTTGACTGTAAAACAAACTCTTATTTTTTTTTTTAAAGTAGGATGTAGAACACTGTC